TAAAAGCTTTTGCACAGCAAAGGAAACCATAAATAAAATGAAAAGACAACCCACAGAATGGGAGAAAACATTTGCTAATGAAGTGACCAACAAGGGATTATTCTTCAAAATATACAAACAGCTCATGCAGCTCAATATCAAAAATCAAACAACCCAATCCAAAAATGGGCAGAAGACCTAAATAGACATTTCTCCAAAGAAGACATGCAGATGGCCCAAAAGCACATGAAAAGATACTCAACATCACTAATTATTAGAGAAATACAAATCAAAACTACAATGAGATATCAACTCACAGCAATTAGGATGGCCATCACCAAAAGTCTACAAACAATAAATGCTGGAGAGGGTGTGGAGAAAAGGGAACCCTCTTGCTCTGTTGGTGGGAATGTAAATTGATACAGCCACTATGGAGAACAGTATCGAGGTTCCTTAAAAAACTAAAAATAGAACTACCATATGATCCAGCAATCCCTCTCCTGGGCATATATCTGGAGAAAACCCCCCCAATGTTCATTGCAGCACTATTTATAATAGCTAAGACATGGAAGCAACCTAAATGTCCATCGACAGAAGAATGGATAAAGAAGATGTGGTACATGTATACAATGGAATATTACTCAGTTATTAAAAAAAAAGAATGAAATAATGCCATTTGCAGCAACACGGATGGACCTAGAGATTATCATACTAAGTAGAGTAAGTCAGACAGAGAAAGACAAATATCATATGATATCACTTATATGTGGAATCTAAAAATAAAAAAATGATACAAATGAACTTATTTGCAAAACAGAAACAGACTCACAGACTTCGAAAACAAACTTATGGTTACCAAAGGGGAAATGTGGGGGGAACAGATAAATTAGGAGTCTGGGATTAATATTTACACACTACTATATATAAAACAGATAGTCAACAAGGACAGGGAACACTACTCAATATTCTATAATAACCTACATGGGAAAGGAATCTGAAAAAGAATGGATATTTGTATATGTATACTGGAATCACTTAGCTGTAACCTGAAACTAACACAATACTGTAAATCAACTATACTCCAATAGAAAATAAAAATTAAATTTAAAAATAGTTTATTGCTACAGAAAAGACAGTCTCTTCAATAAGTGGTGCTGGTAAAACTGGACAGCTACATGTAAAACAGTGAGATTAGAACATTCCTTCACACCATATACAAAAATAAACTCAAAATGGTTTAAAGACCTAAATGTAAGAACAGAAACCATAAAACTCCTAGAAGAGAACATAGGCGGAACCATCTTTGACATAAATTGTAGCAATATTTTCTTGGGTCCGTCTCCTAATGCAAATGAAATAAAAGCGAAAATTTAAAAATGGGACCTAATTAAACTTAAAGCTTTGCATAACAAAGGAAACCATTGACAAAACAAAAAGAATACTTACAGAATGGAAGAAAATATTTGCAAATGATGCAACCAATAAGGAGTTAATATCCAAAATATTGATACAACTAAGTATCAAAAAAAAAACCCAACCCAATCAAAAAATGGAGAGAAGACCTGAATAGACATTTCTCCAAAGAAGACATACAGATGGCTAACAGGCCATGAAAAGATGCTCAACATTGATAATGGCTAGAGAAATGCAAATCAAAACCGCAGTGAGGTATCACCTCACACCTGTCAGAATAGCTATCATCAAAACGTCTACAAATAACACATGTCAGAGAGGGTGTGGAGAAAAGGGAACCCTCATACACAGTTGGTGAGAATGTAACTTGGTGCAGCCACTGTAGGAAACAGTATGGAGGGTTCTCAGTAAACTAAAAATAGAACTACCATAAGACCCAGCAATTCCACTCCTGGGTATATATCCAGAAAAATCGAAAACACTAATTTGAAAACATAATGCACTCCAATGATCATAGCAGCCCGAGTTACAACAGCCAGGTCATGGAAGCAACCTAAATGTCCATATACAGATGAATGGATAAAGATATTGTACGTATATATACAGAATGGAATATTACTCAGCCATAAAAAAGAATGAAATTCTTCCATTTGTAGCAACATGGATGGACCTAGAGAATATTATGCTTAGTGAAATAAATCAGACAGTGAAAGACAAATACTGTATGATATCACTTATATGTGTAATCTCAAAAATAATACAAATGAATGTATATGCAAAACAGAAACAGACTCACAGTTATAGAAAACAAACTGGTGGTTACCAAATGGGAAAGGGAAGTGGGGAGGGACAAATTAGGGGTATGGGATTAACAGAAATAAATTACTATATATAAAAGAGATAAATAACAAGGATGTATTGCATAGCACAGGGAAATACACCTATTGTCTTGTAATAACCTATAACGGAGTATATAATCACTATGCTGAATAGCTGAAACTGAGACAATATTGAAAATCAACTATACTTCAATAAAAAAGTTTATTGCTTAAAGATATTAATCATCATTTGAGCCTTCAGCAAGTTATAGTAGTAACATTATAGATCACTGATCACAGCTCTCCACAACAAATACACATAATAATATTAAAAAGTTTGAAATATTGTGAGAATTACCAAAATGTGACACACAGACGCAAAGGGAGCAAATGCTGTTGGAATAATGACACTGACAGATTTGCTCAATGCAGGCTTGCCACAAACCTTTGATTTGTAAAAGATGCAGTACCTGCAAAGCACAATAAAGCAAAGTGCAATAAAAGGGTACGCCTGTACTTGGACAAGAACTCGGTATGCACACACTCTTTGATAAATATCAGGGCACTGGATAGTGGAAACACATGAGTTTTGGAGCCTGGTAGACCTGCTCTGGAGTACTGTGTCTTCCACTTAATAGCTGAATGACCTTATTCAAGTTGCTTGGGAATAGTAATACTAATCTTGATTTTTTAGAAAATCAATGCGTAAATAGTACATTGGCAAAGCACCTACTGCATACTGTTCACCTTACATTCCTTTCTCTTCTGCCCTAAGGAAGATGTCAGATACTAACCATTTTTCCCATTCCATGGAGAGTTCTTAAGGAAAACTTCACATCGAATTTAGTGAAACTGCTGTTATGAAACTGTGGCAAGCAGCCCAAAACCCCAGGACAAGAAGGACGGGGTCTGTCCTAAGTGGAGTTCTAATTTAAGGCTTGACTTCAATTAGTTATTTATTACCTGTCCAAAGTGATTGTTTCTATGTCATAATTTCAGGGTGAGCTTTCCTAATAAGGATCTAAAAACTAGAAACCTCTCTGTTTTGCAATGTATCTTGGAATTCTCTTCATGGGAAAATGCTTTTGGAATAGAAGCCTATAAGATTTTGGAATTCTCCTTCATACAAATTCCTTTCTTTTGAATAATATTTAATCTTTAATAACTACAGTATGGGATATTCTGGGAGACTATATCTACGATTATGGTCCTTTTTTTTTTTTTTTAACTAACAATGCTGACCCATTGACAATCAAGGGCTTTATCTATCCATCTACACACTACTTATGAACTACATAGTATCTAGTTTGACTTGATGGGTCACTGCCCCCAAACTTAACTACACCTTAGTATCCCTCCTGACACTTGTTTTCAGACTGCCAGAACTTTTCTCAGATCCCTTAAGAGGAAGACTTCCTGAATTTAGGGGGTTAATAAGGAGTTTTGGTTTGTGGTCACATCTTATATTTACATAATGACTCCTTTTATGATAAGCCCTTAGACTAGAATCCAAGAATACAGGTTACTGCCAAGGCCTTCAGTATGAGAAACAAGGCCTGGAATGTAACTTTTTCAGCTTTTTTGCTGGAGGGACAGTTAATGAGGTGACACATAGTTAAGGATGTGTCAAGGTGCTGTCCAAGGGGTGAGGGGAAGATGGCGGAAGAGTAAGACGTGGAGATCACCTTCCTCCCCACAGATACATCAGAAATACATCTACACGTGGAACAACTCCTACAGAACACCTACCGAACGCTGGCAGAAGACCTCAGACCTCCCAAAAGGCGAGGGTAGAACTTCTTTTTAGACTCCAAGCAAGAAGTGACACTCTCTTCCGAACTGGAGTCTTAAAACGTCATTCTTAACACTATTGCAGAGAGAGGGCAGCAAGAGGGTCCTGGTAAGTGAGTCATTTTCACTAACAGTCAGCCATTTTTATTAACGGATAATACTCATTAGTAAGATTCAGTACATAAGGCAAGTACATGAAAAAAGAAGGATGGAAGGAAGGAAGGAAGGAAGGAAGGGAGGGAGGGAGGGAGGAGGGAGGGAGGGAAGGTAGGAAGGAAAGTCGATTCTGGCAGAATGACCTGGGGACAATAGCAACTGGGACCCACAGCAGAGGATGCAGAGTGCCCCAGAGCAAAACTCTTTCCTCAAACTCATTTGTCAAGGGTGACTAACTGTTCTGTAGTGAGCAGGAATTGGAGATTGAAGTGAAAATCCACTGTATGTTCTTTAAAGTTCTTGCAAATAACTATGTATACCAAATTGTATCTAATTTCCATCAATGATTTCATATGTATACCAAATTGTATCTAATATCCATTAATGATTTCAGTCATTCTCAACTATGCCTTTCTTCATTTTCATGAACCCTTTTGAGTATGCTCAAATTGATATGCACGGCTAGGTGAATTGTACTTGCTACAGTTAAGGCTTTGATGTCAAGATTAGTAAAATCTGGGTAATCTTAGCCCTTCCACATCCACCTTCAAAATTCCGTCATAATGAGGCTTAATTCCCAAGATCCCCGGGTCTTAGAAAATAAAAAGAAGAAGTGCTCCATAAAATCAATAGGAGCTCCCAAATGTTGATTTCAGGTTAGCTGGCCCCTCAAAAACCTTTACATTTAACTCTTTTACTTGAGGAATTTTAAATAGGAAATGGGAAGCAAGAAAGGAGTATTAGTTAAGGACAGAGGTGATCAAGATGGCACCAGGCATTTGGAACTAGCTGCTGTAACAAATAACAAAATATGGAATGATTCAAAGACAGTAGTTTATATACCTCAGTCCAAGGTGGATGTTCCTTCTCAGCAAAAGTTGGCTTGTCTCTGTCACCCAACTGTCATTCAAGGACTCAGAATGACAGGGGCTCTGCCATCTTCATCAAATGGTTTCTAAGGTCAGCATAATTATCTCCATCCTAAGGGAAAGAGCATGGATTATTTATGGAAAATTTTTATGGACCAGGCCTGGAAATGGGACATATGACTTCTGTTCAAATTCAGTTGGCTAGAACTTGGCATCACCTGACTGCAAGGGAAGCTGGAAAGTGTGGTCTTAGCTGTATGCCCAGGAATATGAGGAAATACATTAGGGAATAGTTAGCAATCTCTGACACAGAAGGTATTTATATTTACTGCCCCCCCACCCCTCCACAAATCTGGAATACTAATGCTTCATTTCCAGGATCACTACAGAAAGTCAAGAGATGGTTATGGTTATTATAATAAGAGAAGGTGAGAGATACTATTTCCTGAACACTTACTGTGCTCTAGAACCTGTGTTAAATGCACACATTATCTTATTTAATCCTCACATACATCGACCCTGATTTTACAACCAAGGAGACTGAGAGAGGATAAGTCACCTGACCAAGGTCTCACAGATAGTCAGTGACAGAGCTGGGATTTGAACCCAGCCTGTCTAACTCTGATGGCCGAGTGCTTTACTGCCTCATTATACAACCATCACCACATTACAGAAGGACCAAAATATAAATTACCATCTACTGCAAAGTTATGCCAGGATTCTATTGTCAACACAAGGAAAAGGAAGGAATGATGTTCAGATTATGAAAATCCTCATGTGAATGAACTTGAAATAGAAAATCAGGAAAGCCTTTGGCCAAGTTTAGAAATCCCTGGAACTCCTTTGATTCTGCTATTGAAACCTCATTTGAGCATTTCCAGTTTATTTTTAGTTCTCACCAGGCACCATATCCTGGATCAGTGAAGCAGATTTTAAACATCCTTATGAGGAATTTTGATATAAGTGAGATTTTTTAACTGAGTGTGAAAGAAATGCAGCTAAACTACAAGACAAGAATATCTAAAATAAATAAGAGCCCAATGTTTAAGCAGTAAGTGTCCACACCTATGAAAGCCTATTGGGCTTTGCTGTGACTGGTCCTCCTGAAAGACTGAGATCCCCCAGAATCTTCACCTGTTCCTCAAGTCTGTTGTCCCTGGCCTGAGCCTGGAACCTGAAGGCTCTATAATTTACTTAGCACCCTTTCCTAACACTGTCTGAAACCCCAGCAAGGACAACGCAGATCTCTAGACTTTGCAAACACTCCTATAATCCTTATGGTTTGACCCTGGTTGATTGCCTGTATGGAATATAACACCTAGTTGGTCATGCAGGCCAAAATCAGAAAATGGAAGTAGAGATACACACCATAAGTATCAAGTCAGTTGGGTTAGTGAATTCTGCTCACCATGACCTGTAGTTAGCAGGTTTTCATACCTGTGAGCCAGGAACACCCTTGGGTTTACACTCAATATGTCATCATGGACAGTTGTCCTAATACAAGGTCATTTGTTCTCCTGCCGGCACCTTGCTCACCTTCTGAGGCTGTCTGGGAAGAATAGTCACCTTCCACCTCTCCTGTAAATCTTCCAGGCACAGCCTCTCTAGCTACTTGTGTTAACATGCATCACGCCATACGTCATGCTGTGAATCATAACCATGGGAAGAAAAGAGGTAAAGACAAACAAACTTATCTTGTTACCTATTGTGACAAGATCATCATTTTCTTCCACATAACTGTTTCCTCAAGAAAAGAAATAGAGTGAAGTGGAAACATTATTGGATGAAGATCTACTATATAGCACAGGGAACTATACTCAATATCTTGTAATAACCTATAATGGAAAAGCATGTGTGTGTGTGTATAACTGAATCACTTTGTTGTACACTTGAAACTAATACAACATTGTAAGTTAACTGTACTTCAATTTAAAAAATTACTGGAATATGGCAAACTGTTTATAAAGTTGGGTAGTGTACAAGGTGTGATCATTATATAATTCTATGCAATCATTTCATGATTTTTTACTACTTCATAATAAATAAAATATTAAAGAGAAATAATCTGGACTGAGTTTCTTGTTTTTATTTCCAACTCTCCTGCTCACCAGAGGGTCCCGAGCCACAAAGAACTGAATCCTACCAACAACCATGTGAGTTCGGATGTGGATCCTTCCCCATTCAAGCTTTAAGATGAGACCTCAGCACTGACTGTCACACTGATTACAGCCTCATGAGAGATGTAAAAGCAGAGCCCCCAATTAAGTCATGCCTGCATTCCTGACCCACAGAAACTGTGAGATAATAAATGTGCGTTATTTAAGCCACTAAGTTTGTGGTAATATTGTTACACAGTGATAGATAACTGATGCAGTGTTTATACCGGGAGATGGCAAGCCTCCTCTCCTTTTAGGTCATCAGTGTAGGGGAGCTGGGGAGTTTATAGAATACTTTTGCCTGAGTGCCACCCTCAGAGACTCTGATTTAATTGGTTTGAGTTGTGGCCTGGATATTAAAATTTTTGAAACTACTCAGAGGATTCTAACGTGCTACAAAATATGAGAACCACTGCAAAGGTAGTAATCTCACGTCTCCCTTCTTTTTCAACTGTCATCTTTTTTGCTATTCTCAGATTCTCTCCAAAAAGCACCTCAGTTCAATACTCACTTCAGACTCTATGGAATGCCTGGGTATGCACAATCCTTCCTTCCTTGCACATGCTCATTCTTTAACACTTTGTTCCAGTCAAATAGCATTGACAAACCCAGACAGTTGTAGGGTATCCACAGAAAGGGACACTCAGAAAAGGGATAAGCAGTTCTCTGTGACTCCTGCGCCACGACCCAACAGTAATGGTAACCAGCTGGGGAAATGTAAGATGGCTGTGTCTGTCAGGAAGGAAGGAGGAGTAGGAAAGCTGGGATGAGGTACAACTTTTTTGACCCATTAGTTACACATCCTGGCACTGTTTAAGAAGTTGCAAGAAACCATCAAATATTCTAGCTTATAAGTTTAACAAGTAATAAAATAAGAGCCACCATCAGAGAACATACAGTAAATGCTGGGTCTGTATCCTCATCACTCAGTAAATGCTGAGTCAGATATTTCTTTGAGAAACCTGTGGCCTTGCCCCTTCCTTTGATAAATCGCCTCATAATGCTTATCTCTTCCTCAGAGCCTGTATTTAATGTCTATGCACGTCTGGGTGTAATATATAAAAATATCAATTGTTAAGTTATTTTTGCTAGTTAGGATGGCTGGTGGCTGACTTGTTCTGACTGATAAATGTGTTTTTGATTTGTCTTTGCCATATGTCACAGAGGACACTGGGTAGAAATCTGCCCAGAGCGATATGATTATTACATTAATGATTTGGAAACTTGAGGCCCCCAAGCCACAGTGCACAATAACCTGACTTGGGGGAGAAAATCCTGCTCTGGCTGGAGGCCAGGGGGACAGCTGACAAGGAACATAGCTTGCCTGTGTGCAACTGGCTTCCTGCTCTGCTCCACGCATCGTGCACTGCTGACCCTCGACCACAGAAGAGCAGCCTTCCTGCCCGTCTGCAAACACTGCTGCTGACTATGAATGATCCTTGCCCTCTCTCCCGACCCTAGCTGCTAAACTATGCTAGAAGTTAGACATTGATTTATTGCTTAGTTTGCTGTTAAAATTGGCCTATATAAAAAGGAAAGCAATTTTAACAGTACCTTGCTGTGAGAGTTTTTAATCCCTTCTTAACACTTCTCCTGGACAAAAGAACCTTTAGGTTAAGGCGGCAGTATACCTCACTCCCCACAGAGCTAAATTGCTCTGTGCCCCACCCAGAGTGCCATCTCTCAGAGGCAGTAAAACATAGTAGGTGGGAACATGCACTTTGGCATTAATAGAGTAAGGTTTCCCAGCTCCACCATTTATCAGCTAATGACCTTTGGGCATGATACTCAACCTCTCTAGGCCTCTGCTTTCTCACCTGCTCAGCACGGTACCTGGCACATGTTAAGCGCTCAATGAATGGGAGCTATTATCATTGTTATTTACCTTTTTTCACCCAGAGCTGTGATGGATCCAGCCGTGTATTCACAGACTGGGTTACAGTCCACCCAAATTGGAATTTATTATCTCTATTCCCATCCATTCCCTCAAAGAGGAGGTCAAGCCCGGGATAGTGGTTTTGTTCTTAGCCACCCATCCATATATTTCTATTTATAGAAGTTAGAAGCCCCATCAGTTCTTAACAAGTACCATTTGTACGTGCAAAGCATAGTGTCAGGTGCTGGAAGAGACAAAAACACAAGATTTGTGAGCTTAGAAGTGGATCCTTTCCCATTTAAGCTTTCAGATGAGACCTCAGCTCTGAGGACACTGATCACAGCCTCACAGGGGAACTTGAAGCAGAGCCCCAATTTAGTCACGCCTGAATTCCTGACCCACATAAACTGTGAGATAATAAATGTGTATTGTTTGGGAATGTAAATTGGTGCAGCCACTATGGAAAACAGTATGGAAGTTTCTCAAAAAACTAAATATAGAACTATCATATGACCCAGCAATTCCACTCCTGGGTATTTATCAAAAAAAAAACCACAAACACTAGTTCAGAAAGATACATGCACCCCAATGTTCACAGCAGCACTATTTACAGTTGCTAAGATATAGAAACAACCTAGGTGTCCATCAACAGATGAATGGATAAAGAAGATGTGGTATGTATATACAATGGACTATTAGCCATAAAAAAGAATGAAATTTTGCCACTTGCAACAACATGGATGGACTTAGAGAGTATTATGCTAAGTCAAATAAGTCAGACAGAGGAAGACAAATACTGTATCATATCACTTATATGTGGAATCTAAAAAATATAATAAACTAGTGAATATAGCAAAAAAGAAACAGACTCACAGATATAGAGAACAAACTAGTGGTTACCAGTGGGGAGAGGGAAGGGAGGAGGGGCAAGATAGGAGTAGGGGATTAAGAGGTACAAACTACTATGTATAAAATCAATAAGCTATAAGGATACAACACAGGGAATATAGCCAATATTTTATAATAACTATAAATGAATATAATCTTTAAGAACTGTGAATCACTATGTTGTACAC